GAGTTCAGAGTCTGCCTACGCCGCCATCTTGACTCCGCCCAGTCTATTTTCTTCTTGGAGTAAAAGGTTCTAATATTTTAGTCTTTCTTGCAAGAGAATCACTCTTTTCTTCTGAGAATCAAAATAATACTTTTTTGGTATAACCATCAGTTTACGTCTCACTTAAATTTTGAAAGGCAGACAGGCATGAAGCAGGTAAAATATGTTGCTAAAAATAGAAGCACAGATTGTATTTATTTCTGTAGCCTACTTAGTTATGTTCAGTGTTTAGGGGACATTGGTGGATTTAGCATTAACTACCAATATAGCTGTAGGGAAAAATAATTTCCCAAGAGTGCTATAAAACTTTTCCAAGTCATAATTTATCTCAGACAGGATTACCTTTTGGGTGTTTATGGCTGGGTATTTTATTTTTAACTCTATCCTTTGGATGAACAAAGGGATGCTTATTATATCCTATAAAAGTGAATACTCTTAAAAATGTGATTTTGCATGACTAAATTTGAGAACAATTATAAATTCTAGAACATAAACATGAACATACATAAGAGGAAGAAAGGAGAACAATGAGTAGTCAAGTAAAAGGGAATTGAAAAAATAGTCGTAAATTTATGGGTTTGTAGAACTGAAAGTCATATTACAGACCCTCCAACCCAGTGAGGTATGTTACTGAATAGAGTCCAGAAATAGACCTAAAAGCCTTTAGGAATTAAGTTCACGATAAAAGTGGCAGTTTAAAATCGCTATGGAAAGAGGTTTATTTAAAAATGGTGTAGGACAGCTGTCGACTTGTGGATAAAGAAAGAAAGAAAGGAAGGAGAGAAAGACTACTTCATTCACTACGCCAAAACAAATCTCCTGTGGATGAAAAACTCAATCCAAAAGTGAAATAGTTCAAGTGCTAGAAGAAATCATGCAGGATTTCCCAACATATCTTAAGCTTATTCTAAACAACATACGCATACACACAGACTATGAAGGAAAAAAATAGCCAATTAATGTAAATAAAAATGATCTCTACTGAGTCAGCAGTAAGCCCCATTCATCAAGGCTTCTTGGGGACAACCCTCTTTCCCCAAAATACAAGGTCTTATGGAAATCTTAGAGTTATTTTCGTACTCTATAATGGGGCTTTCAAGGGTCTTTGCCCCCACAACAACTTGGAAACTGCTTTTGTTTCCTCATCTTCTTGTGACAGAAGAAGAGGCTCAGACATTTCCAATAAAATGCTGCCTCTGGTTCATCGGGGTTGTATACAGTGCAGGCTCAGAACACCAGCCAAACCTCCAAGCAGAAGTCCAATCAGGAGCCCAGGTTGTTAGCATCCTGGTTGTATCAACCTAGAAATTAGGGCCGGGGCAGGAGTAGAAACCGGCTAGGAACAAAAAAGGATCATAAGGACTTTGGTTTATTAGACTTATAAGCCCCTAAAGGTAGAGAGGGATCCTCAAAGTCATTTCATCCAATCTCTTCCATCTGGTTCTTGAGTCTTCCTCTGCAACACCAGCTTGCACTTAAATCCCTCCGCTAGCTATGTATGGCGGGAGCCATTCCATGGTGAGTCAAAATTTGTTTCTTTCCATGAGCCACTCACTTATCCTATATCAGCCTGTTGCAGCCATTTGGGGAGAGCCAATCTCTCACATGCAGCAACCATATGACTAGCTGACTAGTGTTTCAAAAAATGAGGGGTACTGCCAGTTCATCGGTTGGATCTTTATATACATTTTTCCCCTTGGGGGTCAAAGAAACCCAGAGAGGGAGGAGAAGCCTCACTGTAAAATCCTGTCTTTGTACTATGTTCTTCTAAATACGTATCATTTTCAACTATCGGGTGGTTTTCGGGTAGCTATGCCTGTCTTGAACTGGTCTTTCTGAGAACAGAGCCATGGAAATCTCAGCTTTGTCAAGAGTCTTTTCAGAAAATATGTTTATCAAAAATATTTGGAGGCTGTGAAGTTGGGGGAGACTGATTATGTTGAAAGACAGAATCACGGTTCCAAATGCTTTAAACATCCTTGCACAAGAGACTAAACCTAACTAGATGAAATGTCAGAGCCTTTCTAAGATCTAAAAGAGTAGTTATTAATGCAACACGGCACATGAGATTTGGGAGGAGTGAATATATCTAAACTTCTTGGGAGAATTTATTTGAGCTATGTACACACACCCTCAGGTTGTATTCACCCTCAACACCTCTTCCTCAGTTATAATATTATCACCGAAATGAACCATGTTACTCCTGGTATTGGGTAGAAAAAGAGATTGAGAGTTGCTGGTCTAAAATAACCACTGCACATCTATAAGAAGAGATTGAAGCAGTTTGTAATGAAAAAGACGTAGCTGTTTCACATGACAGTGACTCCAGTATAAGCCCACACTTACTGCCAACCTTTTACCGCCATTAAATCTTGAATGTCAACACTGATACATTAATGGAAGTGAATATTATTCAGCCTTAAGAAAGAAGGGAATCCTGCCATTTTGGACAACAGGGATGGACCTGAAGACATTATGCTAAGTGAAGTAAGTCACAGAAGGACAGATATTGCATGATTCCACTTAAATGAGATATCTAAAATAGTCAAACTCATAGAAGCAGAGGATAAAATGTTGGTTTCCAGGGACTGCAGGGAGGAGAAAATAGGTGCAATGGGTATAAAGTTACAGCTATGCAAGATGAATAAAGTCTAGAGATCTGCTGCACAGCACTGTGCCTATAGTTAACAATACCACATGGTGCACCCAAAAACTTGTTAAGAGGGTAGATCTCATGCTAAGTGTTCTTACCACAGAAAAAATCAAACGGACACAAGAAATCTTTTGGAGGTGATGGATGTGTTTATTACCTTAATTGTGGTGATGGTATTAGGGGTGTATGCATATGTCCAAACTCATCAAAGTGTATACATTTAACATGCAATTTTCTGTATATTAAGCATACCTCAACGAAGATGAGGGGAAAAAAAGACACACTAAAATTTCACAACTTAGTTTTCCTCCTAAGAACAGTTATTTGTTTCCTATCACAAAGTCTAGAAAATGGGTCATGATTCACTGTGGGGAGGGGGATATGTCCTAATAAGACTATTAGTCTTATTCTCGTGCCAAGGATCTCGTTTGACATGCAAACCTTCTCTGCCCACCTGATCCACAATGAATGAGCCATCAGACTGAAATGCAGTTTTATCCTCCCAGGTCAGCAAAGAGAATGTGGGCCTATAAGAATTATCATCACCCAAGGGTAGACATGATATGCTATGCAAAGTTAGACTAACACACATACCATCTGCAGGCAGGGCATCATGTGACAGCTTTCTTTGAGGAAGCTAAAGCAAGACAGACACATAAGAAGTGATTCAGGAAGAGCTGACGGAATGAATCCTAAAGCATCAGGAAAAGAAAATAATATTTTCCATCCATCTTGCAAAGTTTTACCAGGAAAACAAACTTGCCTAATTTGATAATCGCCTATTTACTAGGACAAACCATGACGAGGAAAGAGTGCTGCGTCCGAAAACAACAGCCACTTAGCAGGGTATAAAAGGGGACCTGGGGCAAAGAGCCTTCAAATCTTACAAACCCACCCTCCTGGAAACTCACCCAGAACCTCTACCCTCTGACACCATGGTCAGCTCCTGTTGTGGCTCCCTCTGCCCTGAGCAGGGCTGTGGCCAGGAGACCTGCTGCCGCCCCAGCTGCTGCCAGCCCACCTGCTGCAGGACCACCTGCTGCCAACCCAGCGGCAGTGTGTCCAGCTGCTGCAGGCCCCAGTGCTGCCACTCTGTGTGCTGCCAGCCCACCCGCTGCCGCCCCAGCTGCTGCAGCTCTAGTTGCTATCGCCCCAGCTGCTGCCAGACCACCTGCTGCCGCCCCTCCTGCTGTATCTCCAGCTGCTGCCACCCCTCCTGCTGTGGTTCCAGCTGCTGCCGCCCCTCCTCCTGCATCTCTAGCTGCTGCCACCCCAGCTGCTGCCAGACCACCTGCTGCCGCCCCAGCTACTGCATTTCTAGTTGCTGCCGCCCCTCCTGCTGTATCTCCAGCTGCTGTGGCCCCTCCTGCTGTGGTTCCAGCTGCTGCAGGCCCACATCCTGCATTTCTAGCTGCTGTCACCCCAGCTGTTGCCAGACCACCTGCTGCCGCCCTATCTGCTCTAGCGGTTCTTGCTGCTGAGCGCCCTGTACTGTACCATCAATCAAACTTCTTGATGTAGTCCATCTGTGAGCTGAATTATGAGAGGCCAGTCGTAAAACCTCAGTTCCAGCTGATTCTTAGACTGAGTTTGGCTTCCAAATATACTGCCCCCACCATGTTATTATCTCTCTCCCAAGTGAACACAAAGTTTACATTTTCTCTAAAATCTGTCAACCAACGTATCATCCCAATTGATATATTTGTTCTGTGCCAGATTTTCTCATATGGAGATATTCCCAAATCTTAAATAAATCTTAAATTTCCAGGCATACACATAAAAGAGCATCGCATCTCATTATTTTTCTTTCTTGAATTGTCATGCTTAGCTGACAATTGTTCTGTTGTTCTGCTCTGCAGAAGGAGTAGACTACAGCAGGTGATTTCCGGTTTCTACCTCTAGCCCCTCAGCACTCCGCATTCTAATATAAGAAGTTTCCTATGGCAAGCACCTGGAACTCTCTGCCTGAGGACTTTGGCTGAAGGAGCAGTCTCTGGGTGGGCCATAAGTAGGGGAGTTGAAGTCTCTAGGAGCAGTGCTCCACCAACGGACAGGAGTTGATGGATAAACACCCTATATTCTTTCCCCTTGAGTGGGGGCATGTTGTACCAGTCTCCAGAGGTCCTCAGTGGGATTGGACCCCGGCTGCCTACAGGAGTAATCTGCTCTTGAAATCATTCTCTATTGGCCTCTGTCCCTTCCCAGGATCACCTCCCAGGTTCCCTACAATGCTTCTTAGGATCATCTCCCAAATAAACTACTTGCTCTCAAACCCCTTTTTTTGGGTCTGCTCTTGAAGGCACCCTATCTAAGACATATGTGTTCCAAATCTCATCGTCGGTGCCCTCCAAAACATTTTTCATACAATATGGATGGTCACTACAGTGTCACAGTCAACTCTTGAATTTACTGTCAGCTGAACTTCTAAATCTTTTGAATATTTTGCTGTCTCTTCTTACAAGTTTTGCACAATTTTTTTTAGACTAGTAGTCTTCAATCTGTTTTTTTTTTTCATATCATTATATCTGAGGGAAAAGACACACTCCCACAAGTCACGTGGCTCTCCGTGTTAGTAACACTCATCTGGAAGCAGGCTGTGTTTAAGGGGGTACCACTCCAAGCTGTGTGTCTTATGTTGGATTCACTAAAAGCAGAGCCTGAAACAGGGATTCTCTCACGAGTGATTTATAAGGAAGTGCTCTCAGGAGAAATCGGTAAGAGACTGGGGAAGCGGGATAGGGTAGTGGAAGAAGCTAAGCCAGTTGAATTCTGTCATCATCTGACCCCACAGATGATGGAAGTGAATGGTACCACAGACCTGCCCTCCTAGAGGAAAGGTGGTTGGGCCTTTGTACTCTTACATCAGTTGTCACCAACTGTGGACCACCCCTGGTAGAGGGAGGTGACAGAGAGGGCAGAAACCTCCAGGTGTGGTGGCTCCTTTGGGCTGAGAACAATTAATTGGAGAACAGTGTGGGTGAATGGCGTGAGCCACTAGCAGTCCATACTCACACTAGCTTGGGGATGGGGGCCTTTATGGCAAAAGGGATCTGGATAGGACGTCATATAGTCTCCCCCTGGCACTGCTCATGTCTGCGTATTTCTCTCATTAAGCTCACTCCAACTGGTTGGCCACAATTTCTAGGGAAACCCACAAGAGGAGGGTTAGTGGGCAGCACCTCTGCTGATCTAGGTGACTTGCCCAGTGGAGTGACCTAGATGCCCATCTCTGAGAGCTCTGAGCCCTTGGTTACTATGTCCTCATCAGGCTACAGCTGTTGTACTTCCCCATGTGCAGTTAGAACTGGAATTAGGAATACCAAGAATGCCCCCAGTGGATCACTTAAACGCTAAATATATTCCTCCTTGCCCCCATAGCTCCTTTCTTTGCTTGCTGATCCCCTGGCACAAGAAGCCCAAAGCAATAAGGTGACAGTCATACCTTTAATTCCGATCAGACCTTTACTATGTCCCCTCGAGGTAACGTCCCCCTCTTACAGCGGGGACCTCTAGATGCACAGAGCCTACAATTATAGGGGAGGGAGGCATAAATTCCCCCAAATGGATCACTGGGAATGAAGGTGTCTTGACATGAGTACAGCCATGTTTGGCCGCTCCATTGACCTATAGCCACCAGCACACAAAGAAATACAAAGCTGTTTTCTGTGTGGTGGGAACTGGCCTTTTCCCGGGAACTGGCCTTTCTCCCACGGAGAGAGTTGCAAGTTGTAACATTTCAAGGCTCTTGGAGCGTCGTAGCACGGGATGGACTGGCCATCTGTGCCGGGCTAGGACGATAACCAAAGAAAACAATGCACGTACACAACTACTGGGCTGGGACGTTAGCCAAGGGGCTCAGTGCACGTACGCCACTGATAACTATTTTGTGCATGGAAACACTAGATGCTTGCTCTGTAAACTCTGTAACTGCTTATATAAACTGCTGGAAGCTGAGACCTGGTGAGAGTTCCACCTGTGGAAGGGACACCTTGCCCAGGACGTGTGATCCTTGCCCAGCCGCGTCGATTGACAGGGCTCGCCCGGCAGTGGGGCGTGGATATTGTGCATAACTGATTTGATATAAAGTAATTGATTTGATGTGTTCTCTTTTCGGTCAACCTGGTGTTTCTCTTTCCGGTTGATTTGTGTCATTTCCCTTCAGTCGATCTGGTGTTTCCCTTTCCGATCGATCTGATGTTTTTCCCTCTTATTATATGACCTATTCGGATCTGCTGCTATCTCAGCTGATCCACATCAGCTTTCCCTTTCCCTTTCCAGTCGAGCTGGTGTTTTTTCCCTCTTATTATTTGACCTATTTGGATCTGTTTGCGGACTATCGCCTTTACTATCCTCTATATAATAAAATATACCTTCAGTCCATTTGTTTGGAGTGGAAAGTGTCTTTTACATCTCCGATCGAATCCCCAAACCTCTCATAACAGAAGGTGATGGGGAAACTCCTCCTTCAACCCTGAGTTTCTGGATTAATGTATTCAAATGGGGGGCCATGTTGGCATTTTGGGGTATCCAGCTCTCAGTGTCACCTCAGATCTGCTATCCAAGAGCATCCAAACACATGAGTATTCCAGTATTCAAATATTTTAATAGAGTTTAATTTTTATTATAAAGGAACTAATTAAATGGAAATATGTTAAATTCTCTATCATTTAGCCATGCCTGTTACAAGTGTCTTTATTTAGATCATATTATAACTAAGTCACTATAATTCACTTAGTGGTAGTACATAGCTAAAGATAAAATACATACCAGGTATTTATAAAAACGATGATGAGTACTAAGGTAACGTATGTCATTCCTGGTTAAAAAAAAAGCCTTTTTTCATCCCATTTTTAAAGGATAAATTAACATGACGTGCCCAGTTTCCCTGTGAGACACAACGCAGTTTCCTCAATGGTGATTGTAAATATCACTTGAGTCCACTTCATTCAAATTTCCTTGATATTTATCTAACTGAGGTTTTCATTATGGAATTCTAAAAGACAGCAAAACAATTAGTTTAAAAAGAAAAAACATACACAAAAGAAAAAAAATTACACTTCATCTACTCTATGTAATAAAAGAGGTATATGTTACATAGACACTACATAATTTGTGTGTATGGCCCTGATGTTAACTATCAATTCTACTTCACCAGACGATGGGTAAGAATTTTTGCAAGGAGCACACAGGGTGATTTCTCTCCTGGTTTTAATTTTCGTTTTAAAAAAATTCAGCGCATAGTCTATAGTAATTTCCTGCCATGGTTCATGCCCCATTTTTCCATTCTCATCCAGGTAAGACTGTGGTCTTGGTGTTAGAGTGATCTAAAAGAGTAAAGAGAATTATCATGTTTCAGTCAGAAATTGCTTAAAGTTCAGCGCTTCAAATTCAGGATCAACCCACACATCTATGGACAGCTAATCTTTGACAAAGGAGCCAAGAACATAGATTGGGGAAAAGAAAGTCTCTTCAACAAATGGTGTTGGGAAAACTGGATAGCCATATGCAAAAAAATGAAAGTAGACCCTTACCTTAC